ATAATTGAGAACAGTCTCAAGGGTATGCAAAGAATGCCTGTTGCACCTCACACAAATACTTATTGAGCACCTATATGCTTGGTGTCCTGGTGGGGGGTGGGATAGGATAAGCACTGGACTGCTGACCGCAGGATCAGTAGTTCAAACCCACCAGCCACACCTCAGAAACCCTATACAGGGTGGCTATGAGTCAGAACTGACTCAAAGGCACTTAACAATAATGCACCTGGCCCACAAGATGGAGTTACCATTAACTGAGTTTGTGGGAGATTCAAGGAAGACTTTAGTGGGGGTGGTAAAGGGGGTGAGGGACACGGATGTGGAAATTAGGAATTGTTCTGAACATACTAAGTTTGGGATGCTTACTAGACATTCATGTGGAGATTATCAAAGATTAAGTTAGTTTGGACATCAAGACAAATGAGTGACCTGCAGGTATAAATTGATGAGGTGCCAGAGTACTGTTGTCAGCTGTGGTCTTAGGACCCTATGTGTAGCAGAGTGAAACATGGCTCCATCTTAAGCTCCTCTCCTGAGCACTGTCATGTTTCAGCCCATTGTTGCATCCACTGTCTCAAGCCATCTCCTTGGGGGTTCCTCTTCTTTACTCACCCTCTACTTTGACGATGGAGTGGGTTCCAACTCATAGCGACCCTGCACAGAGTTTCCAAGGCTGTAAAGTTTTACAGGAGCAGACAGCCTCGTCTTTCTCCCATGGAACAGGTGGTAGTTTTGAACTGCTGACCTTGAGGATAGCAGCCCGACTCATATGGTGTCCTTTTCCAAGGATGTGGTCCCACCTAATAACATGTCCAAAGTCTGTGCGATGAAGTCTTCTCATCCTTTCTTCCATGGTGCATTCTGGCTGTCCTTTTTACAAGACAGATTTATAGCCAGAGTATATTGTTGTTAAGTGCCATCGAGTCGGTTCCAACTCATAGTGATCCTGTATAGGGTTTCTGAGGAGCAGCTGATGAGCTCTAACCGTCAACCCTGAGGTTCAAACCGACCTTGCAGTCCAGCACAATAACCCACAGGTCCACCACCAGGTCTCCTTTCCTGGAGTATAGTTGATATTTAAATCCATGATCACCAAGGAAGGATAGAGAAAAGAAGTTGCCCAAGGAATGACCCATGGGCACTCCTGACTGTGCAATGATGAGGAACAAGGGACTAAGGAGTGGCCAGGTGTGTTGAAAAACAAAGTGTAGTGATCTGGAAGACAAAGTGTTTGGCAGGCTAGTATTGAATAACTATGTTAAACATTGACAAGTAAGACGAAGATCCAGAACTGATCACTGGATTCAGCAATGTGTTCATCTTAGAGACAGTGATAACAGCAGTTTTAGTAGAGTGGTTTGGACAAAATCTTAAGAGTAGGTTTATGAGTATGGGAGAAGAATTGTACAGAGTATATGGTGAGAGAAGAAAGAATAAATAGACAAAAATATGAAACAAGGAAAGTAAAAAACCAAACTCCCAAACAAAAAAAACAGTGTTACTACTGGACCTGGAGAGGAGAAAACTCTGGGGGATTCCTGCAAACCAAGGAGCTTCCAGGGTGGGTGTGGGAGTGATGTATGTGTTCTTGGGCCTAGACAGAGTTTCTATTGAACTTGGCATTACTTATGTTCTGGACACTCAATCAGGAGAACTGAAGAAAAAAATTCAAGCCTCGACTTTCGTTATTGAAGGATTCTCTGGGTAAATTATTGAATGATGAAGAAAGCATCAAAAGAAGATGGGATGAATACAGAGGCACTGTACCAAAAGAAAATGGTGAATGTTCAACCGTTTCAAGAGGTAGCATATGATTGAGAGCCAATGATATTGAAGGAAGAAGTTGAAGGTACATTGAAAGAATTGGCAAAGAACAAGGCACCAGGAATTAATGGAATAAAATTTGAAATCTTTCAAGAAACTGAGGTGGCACAGGAGGCACTCACTCATCTCTGCTAAGAAATTTGCAAGACAACTCTCTGGTTGACTGACTGGTGAAATCCATATTTGTGCCCATTCCAAAAAGAGGTGATCCAACGGAATGTGGAAATCATAAGACAGTATCTTTGATATCCCATGCAAGTAAAGTTTTACTAAAGGTAACACAGAAATGGCTGCAAGCATACACTGACAGTGAACCTTCAGAGGTTCAAGCTGGATTCAGAAGAGGCAGTGGAACGAGGGCTATCATTGCTGATGTCCAGTGGATCTTGGCTGAAAGGAGAAAATACCAGAAAGATGTTTATCTGTGCTTTACTGACTACACAAAGGCTTTCGATTGTGTAGATCATGACAAGCTATGGACAACATTGCAAAGTATGAGTATTCCTGAACACTTAATTGTGCTCATGAGGAATCTGTAC